CCCAGGGTCAGGGGTTCTGTTGCTAGGGCGGGGCTATATAGATCATATAGTGAAAGTGCATTATTTCTTTGAAAATCTTCTCTACTCCTTGGTATTATTGAAACAAATCGAATACATAGTTATGATAAGCAAGAGTGACTCTACCAAAATTGTGAAATTCATGGCCCCTGGGTCAGGGGTCCTGGTGCTAGGGTGGGGCTATATAGATCATATAGTGAAAGTGCATTATTTCTTTGAAAATCTTCTTCTCTTCTCCTGGGTATTATTTAAACAAATACATGGTTATGATAAGCAAGGATGCCTTTTCCAAATTTGTGAATTTCATGACCCCTGGATCAGAGGTTCTGATGTTAGGGCGGGACTCTATTTATTATATAGTGAAAATGCATTAATGCTTTAAAAATCTTCTCTGCACCTGGGCATATCAGAGGCAAAAAGGGTAAAAGTTTTAATAAGGAAGGGTATTTTTACCAGATTTTTGAACATCAAGACCATTTGGTCAAGTGTTCTAGTCCAGACCAGGGCTCTATTAATTTGTATTCTACTGAGAGGAGTTATTCCCCTTTGCCATTTACTTGTGATAATTAATCACTGTAAATAATGTACTTGGAAGGTTAATAGAATAAGAGAATTATGCAAGAATTTTTATTGTATAATACAAAAAGTACTTTCATAGTTTTAATGATCAGGTAGACTTGTCTTATTAAGGTTTTCCATGCCTAATAGGAACTAATTCTCTATCCTTAAATATCAATCACGTATATAATACTCTGATATTAATTCAAAGAACTTTACAGTAGAAAAGGATTTACCAAGTGAAAGTTTCAAAAACGTAATTAACTAAGCAGTATTTAATTAATAGAAATTGCATTGAAGTCTATGGAGACAAGCGATTTTTTTAAAATAAAAATTCAGATAATAAGAATATCAATAACTACTGTGGTGGAAAGATCCATTAAATCATTAGAAATAGAATGACAATTGAAAACAATTTTTTTACCGTATATTTTTTTAAAATTGATTTTTATTACTTAAAAAAAGAGGGAGATAACTCTTCAACAAAGGGCAAGTCATAAATTAGGACACTTCCATTCTTACATGCTAATAGTAATAAATGTAGATTATGTCTAAATATACTGAGTATTCCACCCGTACACATCTGTTATGTATTCAAATTCATTGAATCTGAGGCTATTAGGGATGGAATACCAGTACCTTAAATGTTCATCAAAGACCAAGAGTCTTACTCAGGCCAATGTAAGAGATTTCCACAAGGAATTAAAAGAGTACAGAAGCACTGATAGTTTCTTTATATACTGTCTGGTGAGAATGATAAATGGGGAAGATTAGAACCTAATTTATGAACTGTTAATGAATACTAGACTAATTATTTTGTTAATCCTGATCACCCTATTTTTCTTGCTTTTGGGCAACAAAGCTTCACCTTTCAGTTCATTTTATACTCTATGGATCCTCTAAATTGTTGTATTATACTCAGGTGACCATTAAGGCCCTTGGGCCTCTTGTTGACACTTTGACGCCTATGATCATCAAACCTCAGTTGATGCATCCTAAGGCCTCAAAGTATTTCAACCAAAAAGTAGGTCACAGTGACATACTTTTGAAATTTTATGGCTATATTTAAATATTTCAGATACTAATTGGCTTTGAATCATCAAACTTTGTCAGTTGATGCATCTCTAGTCCTCAGAATGTGTAAACCAAAAATAGGTCATAATGACTAACTTTCAGAATTTCATGGCTATATTTAAATATTTCAGATACTAATTGGCTTAGAATCATCAAGCTTTGTCAGTTGATGCCTCTTGTAGTGTTGTACCGATAATCAGAAAACATCAATTGTTGACGAAAAAATGCTACCGATTCCGATGATCGATTATAATTTTTCATAATTGATCATTGGAAACATACTTCTAATACAATACATTCCGGAATTATCCATTTCTGGTTTAAAATTCATTTCTTCTTAATGAAAGAAAATGGCATCTGCATCTGCATTCACCAACTAGCACGAAGCTGAGGTGATTAAGAACCGAAAGGTGTATAACATAGAAAGTGTAAAAAGAAGGAAAACAACAAAGAAAATAATATATTATATATTTCATATATTCATTTTAAAGAAATAATATGAAATAATTGTAATAGTCTGCTTTTTATATACAAAACCATGACATCCGATTATAATCGATGAAATCGCATCGGAAGCAGTAACCGATTCCAACCGATGATCGATTATGAAAATTAACCGATGTCCCATCACTAGCCTCTTGGGTCCTCAGAATGTGTCAACTAAACAAGAGGCCCAAGGGCCTTGAATCACTCTTCTGATAAACTGTACAACCTATCACTTCTATTTGAAGCCTCTAAGTATCCTGTATATTTAGATAAACCCTTTGAAATTCTAATTCACATTCTGAGAACCCAAGATGATTCTAAGCCAACTAGTACCTGAGAGTTGGTCAGGTGACCTACTTATCACTTGTCATTCTCTGAGGACCCATCAACTAAGTTTGATGATTCTAAGCCAATTAATACCTAAAATATTTTTTTAAAAATTATAACCATAAAATTAGAAGTAGGTCAAAGTGACCTACTTTTAAGTTGTTGTACTCCAAGACCCAAGATGCATCAACTGACAAAGTTTGATGATTCTAAGCCAATTAGTACCTGAAATATTTAATTAGAGCCTTAAATTTTCAAAAGTAGGTCACGGTGACCTACTTTTCAATCGACCTACTTTGATTGTGGTTTATAAAGTGTAAACTGCCACTACCCAGTTTATACAGTATAAATTGGGTAGGTATTTAATTCACTCCTTAATTAAATGTGAAGACCCAAAATGCATCAACTGACAAAATTTGATGATTCTAAGCCAATTAGTACCCCAAATATTTAATTAAAGCCATAAATTTTCAAAAGTAGGTCACGGTGACCTACTTTTCAGTTGACGTTTTTTAAGGACCCATGATGCATCAACTTACAAAGTTTTATGATCATAGGCTTGAAAATGTCCAAATTATGCCTCTTAAAGGCTTTGAAATCGAATGCCTGCAAAGTTCAAAAAGTAGGTCACTGTGACCTACTTTTTAATAAATATGTTTTATGGCCCCAAGATGCATCATCTTACAAGATTTAATGATTCTAAACCTCTCGGTATTCGAATTAATGACCTTAATTGTTTTGAAAAAGATTAGCCATAAAATTCAAAAAGTAGGTCAAAGTGACATACATTTTAGTTGAGGTACTTTGAGGACCCAAGATGCATCAACTGACAAAGTTTGATGATCTTAGGCCTTAAATTGTTCAAAATATGCCTCTAAATCATTTTGAAAAAGAATGGCCGCAAAATTTAAAAAGTAGGTCATCGTGACCTACTTTTAAGTCAACATGATGAGGTCCTTAGATGCATCAACTGACAAGATTTGATGATCCTAGTCCTTACAGTAAGCAAAATATCAACATTTTAATAAAATGTAATTTTTGGTCAACTTTGAAGTGACCTTGAGAACACGCCTTTTGCCCCAGGGTAAATCTCCGTGCAAATTTTAATCTACAACATATCCTCATCCTTTTGTGTAAGTTTGGTGATAATCTGCCCAGTGGTTCTTGAGAAGATTTTTTAGCAACCAGTACTTTTGTTTCTATATTCCTAATTATCTCCCCTTGTTAAAGGGTCACAACCCTAGTTTTAGTATAAAAGGGAGCCCTTGGGCCAAGGATACCCTGTGACAAATTTGACAATAATTGGCCAAGGGGTTCTTGAGTTATGGCCCATATTCTAAAAAGTTTACGCACACCGCACAAATGGCCATAGCATTAGCTCTTTGAGCCTTTGGCTCAGAAGAGCTAAAAATCATGGTGTCCTACTTTTGGAATTTTAAGGCAATACCTTATTATTTCAAATAATAAGAGGCTTAGAATCATCAACCTTTGTCAGTCAATGCATCTTGGGGTCTCTGATAGGCTAGCCAAAAAGTAGGTCACTGTGACCTACTTTTGGAATTTCATGGCTATTCATGTATCTGAATATTTAAGATAGTAAGGGGCTTAGAATCATAAAACTTTCTCAGTTGATGCATCTTGGGTTTTAGAGTTTGTTTAACCAATATGTAGGTCAATAACCTACTTATGGAATTTCAAGGTTTTATCTATATATATAGAATACTAGGAGGTTTATAATAGAAGTGTAATGTTGTACAATTTATCAGAATAGTGATTCTAGGCCCTTAAGCCTCTTGTCTGTTTTATTGTGTCTGACAGTCTGTCATATTTTGTACATGCTGAGTTAGAATTGCCAAGATTTGTCATTTGAAGGGGGAGAGGTTTTAACATAATACAAAAGCAGTTTACATTGACATCATTCTGGGATTCTTCATTTATGCATAATCTATACATTGTGTTCAGGTCACAAATTTCTACATAGGAACTGAATTTTGGAGAGGAGAGGGTTATAATTATAACCAAAATGATTAGTGACCTCATTTGGAATATAAAATACATTTGTACTTGAATTGCTCTATATATCAAGGACTTACAACCAAGAGACTGGATCAGGAAAGGCAGACACTCCAATGTGGCAAATTGTCAGCCTGAACCCCTGAGATCCAGCCAAATAGCTTGCATCTAGATTTTATCAGTCAAATTATATTGTGGTCACAACCCAAAATTGGGTCAGAATTATTTGTGTTTAACTGGGTCCTGAAAAATTTGCAAGTACTACATGAAATTAATCATACTGTCTCTCCTTGCATCATGTGAGAATTCTCTTCTTACAGGCATATTCTATGACTTTAATATGAATATGTAATCATCACTGTATCAAATTTTAAGAAGTATAACCTTTTAGATACACAGTAGTGTAACTTTTGCTTCATTACAAGCATGACATCAGCCATGAAATGCCATATTTAAAGATGATCTTGTCACTGAAACATTTGTCAGTTAATTGACTGTTGATGAAAAGGATAAAGTACACAATATAACAGATAGATTTCTTTATATATATTTTTAGGAATACATGTAATACAAAATAATATAATACACACATTCTCAAAAATTATAATAAATTAATCCAACCTCAATCTTAACAATTTTAAATGTAACCTGGGATGGAAACTTTTGAGAACTGTTCATAAGTTTTAGATATAATCCCTCATCTGTGCCAGCACTTCATTACAAATGGAATGTTTTATTTATGCACTTGATATATAAACTCATACCAGTAAATAATTGTTTTTTTTTTTTAAGGGAAAGTTGGGATATATATATAAGCCCACAATACGACCATTCATTTTGACTAGACTCAGGTTCTACATTACAAATACAACCTTCCTCATTCATACTGATGATTGAACAAATTGGACAACTACCTAGTTCCGAGTACAATAACTCTGTATACAGCGACCAATCACAATATGATCAGTGGATGGCTTACTCAATCTACAGCACAAAATCAACACTAGACTCAACAAATGATCATGGATATACAATTCATAAAGACTACCCCGTAATATGTAAATGTACATGGATTGCTGTTTGCTGACATATCATACTGTGGTTTTTTAATCATTAAGCAGAGTCCATTGTTAAATCTATTCATACATAAAATTATTTCCATTGCAATGAATTCATAAGTAAAGGGCTTATTTGGCAGGAACTGATGAATAAAACACACAAAATTTTCAAATGCCTACATTTAAAATGATTATAAAACCACAGCAGGAATCAGCCATCAATTTCCTAAGAAATATGTCATGTCTATTTTTTCCAGTTCCCATGGATTTCAGGTTTGATGTCTAAGACAATTTCCATTAGTCTTTTGATGGCGACTTCCTTGTTTTTGCCCATATTACTCTCCAGTTCCTTGATCTTCTGACGAGTACTGGCCTCTATTTTACTCTCCATATCACCTCTAGATCCAAGAACCTGAAAATTAAAGGCATATTTCTTGCATTTGTAATTTGTTACATATTTACTTTTAATTTATTCTTTAATGTTATGAACCTTTCCTTGATATGAATATAACAGTCAGTACACAAAATAAGCTACATGTACTCTAGGGAATTAATGTTCCTCACTAATAAGGAAAGAAATTCAAGATATTATCAAGAAAAAAATTGTAACCATAAACAAGTTTGACCTAGACCTTTGACCTTTTTACCTCAAAATCAATAGGTAAAAAAACTAGATGTTATAGTCACGCCAAGTACGATTATTTGAGCAGGGTAGTAAGCTCAAATGTTTTATTATTCATGAATATTGATAAAAATTTCTTGAATTTATTCACTGTGTTCTGTATTCCTTGACAATCCTTTATATTAAAGATATACATGCTATAAAAATGTGATTTTTTATGTGAAACAAAATGATTAAATGATTTGAGAAACATGATGATGCGTAATGAAGAAATAATACTTTCCACAAAGTTTTACTACCCGGTATATAAGTCATTGAAATTACAAAACAATTAAACAAAATCTTCAATTAAAAATTCAGCCTTTTCATGAATATTGATGAAAGAAGTGCGTAGACAGTATATTGACACTCATGTCCGTGGGAAATCATGGACGACGAGGTACGTTGCATTTTGACTACGATTATGAACAAAAGGTTAATGTCTGTCATTACAGAGAAGATGGTTAATACTGGTTGTTTTAAAAGATAAGTATCTTCAAGCGTTATATGCGCACCATCCTTGTCAAAAGTTATTTGTAAACCAAACGGCCTACCTCGTTTTCTTGACACCATTTTTGTTTATCATTCTAAAAGTAGCGACGGTGTCATGTGATGCATTGATTTAAATAAAGGCATTACTTTCCTGGCAGGAAAATAAATAATTATAATTTGACATCTTTATAATGCGTTCATTTTCAACTGTGTAATTTACAGTATTTTCATAACTATATTTAGTAAGCAAAAGAAATAAATTTCCAACTTTATTTTTAACTGACGCAAGTTATAGTGTGTATATCTTTAATATTAACAAACTCTTTATTTCTGCAATGCCCTAATTGTAAAATAAATATACTCAGCCAGGGTGTCGCAATGTCTTAGTTATGACAGTAATGAAATGAATCTAGAAACTTAATTTATTCCATAATGTGACCTTGACATTTTACCTTTGTAATCAAAAGGATCTTTATTAAGTTAGTCATGGCCTATCTCTCTCTCTGAACACTGCATCCCAATCACAGACTTACTGATTGCTCATATTTCTTGTACCTGGGAATGTTCACCAACTTAATGATTTTTTTATTTTTCTTGTACTGGGGAATGATAACTGACTTACTGATTATTCATATTTTTTGTACTGGGCAATGTTCACTGACTTACTGATTTTCTTGTACTGGGGAATTATAAATGACTTACTGATTGTTCATATTTCTTGTACTGGGCCTCTCTCTGGGCTCTGTACTGTTCTATCTCTTGTTGTGCTTCTTCTTTGGCTTGCTTTAAACGTTTGGCTTTACCTACAAAAATATTTCCAAATGTATATTAACTAGAAATATGTCCATAGGACATGAATGCCCCGCCAAGGGTATATTAGTAATGCAACATTTTAACACAAATTGAGAAAAGTGAGGTCAAGGTCAAAGGAAAGGTCAAGGTCAAAAAATATTGCTGCAGTTGAATAGCTTACATCAGTATGTATCAGCATATGACGTTTGATTCAGAAACTAATTTAAGAAAAGTGAGGTCAAGATCAAAGGAAAGGTCAAGATCAAAAAATGTTGATGTAGTTGAAAAGGTTACATCAGTATGTATTAACATATGAAGTTTGATGAAAATATTATGAATGGTTTCTTTAAAACTTAGCTAAACACTAATTTAAGAAAAGTGAGGTCAAGGTCAAAGGAAAGGTCAAGGTCAAAAAATATTGATGCAGTTGAATAGCTCTCATCAGTATGTATCAGCATATGAAGTTTGACACTAATTTAAGAAAAGTGAGGTCAAGGTCAAAGGAAAGGTCAAGGTCAAAAAATGTTGATGCAGTTGAAAAGGTTACATCAGTATGTATTAGCATATGAAGTTTGATGAAAATATTATGAATGGTTTCTTTAAAACTGAGCTAAACACTAATTTAAGAAAAGTGAGGTCAAGGTCAAAGGAAAGGTCAAGGTCAAAAAATATTGATGCAGTTGAATAGCTCTCATCAGTATGTATCAGCATATGAAGTTTGACACTAATTTAAGAAAAGTGAGGCCAAGGTCAAGGGAAAGGTCAAGGTCAAAAAATGTTGATGCAGTTGAATAGCTCTCATCAGTATGTATCAGCATATGAAGTTTGTTAAAAATATCTTGAATGGTTTCATTAAAACAGAGCTAAACATTAATTTAAGAAAAGTGAGGTCAAGGTCAAAATAAAGGTCAAGGTCAAAAAAATGTTGATGCAATTGAATAGCTTACATCAGTATGTATCAACATATGAAGTTTGATTACACTATCTTGAATGGTATCTTTAAAACTGAGCTAAACACTAATTTAAGAAAAGTGAGGTCAAGGTCAAAGGAAAGGTCAAGGTCAAAAAATGTTGATGCAGTTGCATAGCCCTCATCAATATCTATCAGCATATGAAGTTTGATAAAAATATCTTGGATAGTTTCTTTGAAACTGAGCTTTGAACAGAGCTAAACGCAAAGTGTGACGGAAGGACAGACGGAAGGACAGAAGGACGGAAGGACGGAAGACGGACATGACAAACACTATATGCCCCGGCCATATTCATGGCGGGGCATAAAAATGGACTTTTCTGTAGCTATCAAGAGGGTCACTTGCCACTCTGGTAACATTTAAAAATGATATAAATACTTCTTAATCAGTTAATCTACATCACAATAGGAAGCTTTAAAACAGAATTTTGTCAAAATAAGATGTTTTAATGATCAACTGAGTGTAAACTGTTCATTATCAGCTTCACATAAGCTAATTATTTGGTATTTGCCCATGCAATCTGACCTCTTCAGCAGACACGAAAGTGCTCGCAATTTTTTTTTTTTAAATTGGAAGTACACAAGAGTACTGCATACCTGTATCTCACTGGTCTTAGTGAATTCTGTTTCTAGAAGTGTAATGTTTGAAATTAGATTTGGCTAATTAAAATCAATTGTTTTCAAAAAAAAAAGAAAAAAGAAAACCTTGTCCAACTCATATTTAATATCAACTTGCACACCAATAGTGGGATGAACTGTGAATCTAGTTAGAATAATCAAACGTGTCTCGGGACAAGCCCTCGCCACAGTTACGTCCCATATTGTTGCAATGTAGCAAATTGGAGCAGATCCGCTCCAAAATGATTTTGAAGAATACAAAAGGAGTTGCACTGAAAATAATTTTATCAAATAAATCATAACGAACCTTTTTGAGATTGTATATGCCTTTTCACCTAAAGAATAATCCATATTAAGATGAAAATTCAACTCATTTGAGGCCAAATAAAAAAATATGTGTGGTTCCGGTTACACCTCCAAAAAAATTAGGGTAGGTAGGTAGGGATTTTTTTTTTTTTTTTTTTTTAAATATTTGTACAAAATGATTTCCTTAGTACAACCTAAGGCTAGCACTGCTTTGCAGGTGGCAAGTATATGTGGTCAGATTAAAATACTAAATCAAGATTGATAGGAAGCACCCTAGGTTTTGACTATGAAACAAATATTTTTAAATAAAAAATTAATAAAAATATTTATATAATTATTGTATTTGATCCTTGTTCATGTTTAATTTTAAGTATCAAACAATTTCACTTTTATGCAGGAAAAAAAAAAAGGTTTCAGATCACTATTTCCATTATATTGATGTGCAACATTTTTATATCCAAGTTTATAAACGAATAAATGAATTTTATCCAGACTAATTTTTATTTATATATTTAATTAATTAAACTAGAAAACCGACATAAACAGAGCCCTGCTATTTAATAAAGGGCTTTCAGTGTTTAATAAAACAAAAAATTTCATGTGGGGCCCTAATTAAATGGCCTTTGCACAAATGGAGTTTTTCCGTCTTTCTGACAACTATCACACAATGGCAGAACTGTTTTAAATTTCTTTTTCAGTTCAGCATCGATGTCGGCATTTTCTATTCCGCAGTAAACACAGATATCATTTCGTCCTAGTCCAGATGCATAATACGGTATTTCTACAGGTGTCGCACATTGCAAGTTTGGTCTGCATGTTACATTTTTCCGAACTGATTCAGACACAGTCGGTGGAAATAGATAAGAGCCACAAGTATATTCAAATTCACTTAGACTTGATGCTACAAGTACTTGTTGTCTCTGGCTTAGCTTTGACTTGGAATATATAACACGTGGTTTAGAACATTCAACACACAACGCAACAGCTCTGGCATTTTGAGTTGAAAAAGCCAGTTGGTGATTAACTTCAACAAAAAGTGTTTTTGTTTGATTTTCTTCATTATCAGTAGTATCCTGTGTATAATTTTCTCCTGTTGATGATAACGGTCTTTCACTCATAGCTGCCTCACAACTGTCTTGTTCTTTTCTTCCACTACATGTACCTTGCTTTGGCTGTTTTTGGATCTTTAGAGAAGGTCTATCAATTTCTGTAGTTTCAGCTTCTTTCAGATCTTCATATGACTGAAAGTGTTCCTTACTTTCATCTAACATTGGATTTGGTAACCATTTCAAATGTTCACTGTCCAGTTTCTGAGGTAAGCAACAATTTTCATCCAAACATTTCTTGATCTGGAATGTGTACATTGTTTCTAGACAGTGCTTATCTTTCCATTCGTTATACTCTTTGCATTTCTTTGTATGGATTTTTTGCAGCTTTGTCAGATCAAGGTTAGGAAATAACTCTCATGCATATCGTTTAAGGATTTCTATTTCCTCATCAGTAGCTGGATCAACACCTGTCATCGGTTCATCTTTCAACGAGAGTTTCTGAAACCGGTTTCTTATTACTGATTGAACTGGTTTGATGGATTCAGTCCATTTTTCCCTCAATTCAGGATGCTTCCTTAGCTCTGCCATACTGTTTATTCTCTTTAACTTGTCTTCAGTTTTTTCATCCAAAATCTTCCTTTCTGTTGCACAATTCTGGAGACCATAGTTCAGTACAGACATGACACGCTCTGCAGGATTCCTGTAGCTATGCCCAGGTGCACATCTAGCTGTTATGAGCAGGTCCAAGTCAAACTCTTTGAAAAGGCAAATACTTGCTATTTTCACAGATTCCAAGGTGTTACGTTGGTCCGTGCCACCATCAGTATACTTAAAAAGAACACTAGGTATCTTCTCTTTATACTTTCCATCTATAATTTTCTTCAGCATTGTTGCATGTCTAAATGGAGATGAAACTTGAAATACTGAATCATTTACTGCAATATATACTTGTCCTCGAACAAATGATTTTTCTGTGTCGTCAGGAATAGAACAGTGCAATACAACACTTGGTGTCAATGATGCAGAAGTCATATCATGATCCAAGGCTACAAACTCAGTTGTCACAGGGGCTATACTCTGTCTCCCTCTGACTCCAGTTGATACAGGACTTCCTGGATTACCCACAGGAACTTTCGCTTTGTCATCACAAAAGAAAAGCATAACATCGTCTTCCATTTCAACTGATTTGCATTTTAAGTATTTTAAAATCACAGCACAATAGTGGTCATCTGGATGTTGAACTCTCAACTCCCTTCTCTGAATTTTATGTTGGACATTGAGGCGAGAAGTGAAGTTCATTGCAGTTTTGGTATATGGGTTTGTAGGTGCAAATTGGAGTCGCACATGACTTTTGGATGGAATCAAGGTGTCTGGGGGACATTTATTTGTTGCTTGTTTTATCATATCTGATAATGATATCCATTGTGCCATATGAGCAAACCCATGTCTCCTATCATCGGCAACCGTGACTTCTTCCACCATCTTCCCCAACACTTCAAAAAAAGTGTCAAATTTATTAGAGGGACGACCTGGGTTCAAATGATGCAAATCTGGTATAAGTCCTTGTTCTCCTAAGAAAATCAATCTGAGTCTCTGTTGCATATCAGGGTGATTAGCAGTTGACCCATCAAGTGCTAATTCATTATATATGAAATCAACAATGTTGGGTTGTATTTTGGCAATGTTATTCAATTTCATTTTGAATGCCTTTTTCTGTGCTCTTGTGTGATATTCCTTTAAATGAGGCCTCAATTTTTGTACCATCCTTGCTCCTTGTGTTAAAAGTTGAACTTCTGTTCGGTTGGGTGCCACCTGAACTAAGCAAACTGTTGTAAATATTGATCCACCAGGACAGTATCTGATAATATCAATAGGAAAAGATAACTGAAGTTCACTAAAGAAACGGTATCTCTGTGAGCTGTTTTCAAATGGATTCTCCAAATGCTTGCTTTCATCAAATATTACTGGATTCATCTCACCTGCCTCTTTAACTTCTTTTTCAATCATTGAGTATTTGGATTTCACAAACAGTGCTCCTTTTCTGTGTTCAACTGCGGCGTGTCTATCTACTGTTCTTACTGGATGATCACTGTTCCTGTTTTCCTCTGATTCCTTGGCTTTTTCATCTAAATACTTTTTATATCCTAAAAAGCATTCAGCCAACAGTTCTAATTTTTTTGCCATTCCCTTCCATGCAGGTGAAGAGTTCATGAATGGCCTCTCTAGTGAACTGAAAATTGCTTCAGCATGAGATTTCAAAAGCCAACTTGACAGCGGCTGACTTTTAATCTTTTTCCTTTTTGTATCATTATAACCTGTATACTGATCAAATGGTGGTGGGACTGGTGAAACATGTTTCTAGCGAAGTGCTGCATCATTTATAGTTGTCTGTTTGTCTGTTATATACCATAAGGCATTACATATGACCTGAAATAAAAACAAAAATTTGTGAGTCTTCTGAGGAAGACTAATGCATCTGGTATTTACATATATACTCTCCTTTTGTTTTTATTGAATAAAAAAAATTTATCTTGGTGCACATTTAAAAATTGGTGTTATTTGAAGCAGCTGAAGCAGCATAGGAAGAGTTGTAGACAGAAGAATGCGAGTTGATGACAGATGGCAGTGATATGGGACAATGGATAGTGATACTTGTATATTTTTCCTGCTACATATGTGATGCGATGTAAAAGATTGAAAAAAATCTCTATTAATAGAGCAGTGGTAATAAATATAAATCAAGTTCACAAGAGAAGATTATTTTCACATGTATATTAAAGTAATGAAACAATTTAATGGAAGAGAGGTACATATTGAAGTAGTCCAACACCAAATACTACAAAGCAGATATTAGTAGAGCACTCTAGGATTATTTATGCATTCATAATCATTTCATACTTACACGCAAGAAACTATTTAAAAAAAAAAAAACGAAAAAAACCATTGAAGAAATTCCGGAACAAAATTTCTTTCGTATGAAATTACATTCATGAATTACTCTCCATAGTGAAAATAATTCTTTTAAGTTTCAACAATGCAAATTTATTCTTCGGATTCAAAAAAAATCTGCAACTGAATTTTCAGCTATTAAATCCTTTTATAGTACATATACATATTCATTCATAGAGCATTTATTTTTCTTTTTAATATTAAATAATTATTAGGGTAATAATTTCTATTACATTTAACCATTTCATTTTTAACATATAAAAATACCTGAATGAAGTAGGTCCCCTCACTGTCAGGTATCGCTTTTGGAAAGTCTAGTTTTCTGGACTTGAACTCGTCTACTAGATCATTAAAAAGTTCATCTTTTCTTGATATGCCATCCTTCACTCCAGAACTATAGTTTGTAAATAAATGTAAATACAATTATGCATTACATACAATCTCAAAATATGAGGTGCATACCTGTACATTCAAGCAACATGTTTATTAGAACATCCAGAAAACTTTTAAAATGCTATTGTGTTGCATTTTATATTAAACAGCTACAATTATATACATTTTCATACTACTTCCAGAGTAAAATTTTATCTTCCCATGACCCGTCAAATATCTTGCAAAAATAATTCATGTAAAACCAAGGTCTTAGGGGTATAGTTTTAAAAAGAGAGGTACTGGACAGATTCTTTAATACACACCTTAAATACCAGTAGATAAATTTTTCTATTTTTAATTTTCATCAGTGTACCCTCAATTTAAATATAAATTGATATTGCTAAACTTTCTGTATCAAACACTATTTTCTGCATAAAAATTATTTAATACTTGTTTTCCTGGGGAAATTTATTCTGCCAGCCAGGAAATGAAATTGAGCATTGGTAGATCTGAGCTCTGGTGACAACATAAAGTCCAAGTGCTTTAATTAATGATCAAGATTCATTCAGAGATATTATATTCCCTTCAGAGTTGTACTTAAATACATTTCAAGGAGGGGGATAGGAAGAAGTAGATAGGATATTGTGGCAGACAACATTTATAGAGTATGTTATCATATATCCTACCTTGAAAGGTGTTTAGATATCAGCATTTCGTTTGAAATACATTACCTGCTAGTTTTTTGGGGAGGGAAGGTTCGGCCACTTGCCATCAATACTTGGAAAGCATTCACTGCCTGCACATCTGCTTTCTCTGCTGCACTATTTATACGACTGGAAAGAGTTTCTTCTTCTTCCGGAAGTCCACCCTCACACGTAAAAATAAACTGTCTTACATTGAATAATGACACTACCTCACCTACAGTCAGTGTCGGAGATATCACGTGCGACTGGCTTGTAACTTTGAATGCATTATTCTTTAGTCCGAAGTTGTGATGCTCATCAAAAATATCGATAAAAGTTTTTAGATTTAGTATTGGTGCAATTATGCTCTTGTTTTCATTTAAGTGGCAACACTTGTTAAACGTAAGCGACAATACACTTGTACTGGGAGTTGACACGCTGTTTCCCATGGAGGCAGCCATTGCTGAAACCAAAACTAATATCAGAGCCGATGACGGAAATCGGGGAAAATTCCGGAAATTTGAAAATTGTCGGGAAAAAAAGTTTAGGGTCGGCGGTATAAAATAGGGACGGTCGGGTAACCGGAACCACACATATTTTTTTATTTGGCCTTATCAACGTTTTTTCTCGTTTCAAATTTACATGGCATATTGACATTTTGAACTCTCTGCATTGTTCATAGTAAATTCACTGAGTTAGAATTATCGCTCCTGTTTATTTTGCTACATTGCAAATACACGGAACGAATTCTATCATTAAACCGGGTCCGTAGGACAAAATTACTTTAACGACAGAACTGTCAAGCCATCAATAATGGCAGTATTTTCAATGGTCTAAATTTCAGGCCCTGGGGAGCTGCTACAGACAGTTGTTACCTTTTGGGGAATTTACTTTTGTTGTCAAAAAAGAAGAAGAATCTGATGCTAAGCTCTGGTGCAGTCTTCCTTGAAAAGGTCAGTTAACTTAATTCAAATGCAATATGCGTTTTACATCAAAACATGAATTATAACACATTACTACAGTGTTAACCAGTCTGGTCGAACCCCCAAACGGGGGTAACCGGAAAAAGGAAAACCATACCCCCAATCGGGGGTACGAGCATGCGCAGATGCTTAAAAATGTGCGTATTTCACGCAAAAAGTAGGGGTTTACAAAAATCGCCGGTGCAAAGTAACGGATTATTTGGCAAATGTAAAACCACTCGGAAATGATAGATTAAAGGTGCTTTTAGAGTTTGTATTTTACAAAAATACAACTTTATTGTACAAATATGGATTTATTCACTGGCAAAGTTGGCGATCTTTTGCTCCTTGACATGCAGGTATTCAAGATAAAATATTCGATAAACAGACAAAAGCAACTAATATTAAATTGAAATTATAAAAAAAATGTATTATTCTACCTTATATCTTTTATTTTCATAATAAAATACAAGAAAAAACGGTGCTAATATCGATTTATATATGATCGTGGGTTTCAGTCCGCGTTTCCTCTGACTAGCAATCGACGGTCTTTATTATCGATAATCATGACCAGAAAGTGTAACAAAAATACATATAAAAATAAAATTCAAATGAAAAATATCGTATTTATAGTCTTTTATATCTTATAAGAATTAAATAAAATGTTTGGCAACTTGTTGTTGTAGTTTTTTTTTTTTTTTTAGTAAATGCGATTGTTTGGGGAAAACACGATTATTTTTAATTTTATTTAAAACTAGATTCTAAATTAACATTTTCCTCATTCTTAGAATATTTTTCCTTGTGTTTTAAATTCCATAATCCTAATTGAGACGTCCTACAAAATAATAAATAATTTCAAGAAATGACGGAAAATATTCTGTTATTCCTACATTATAAATTCAAACTATGGAAAATTTAATCTGTTAATTTTTTTCTGTTGACATTTTACCAATTTCATAGCAGAAATAACATTATTATCGATCTTTTTCCTAAGATAGATGATATAGGCAAGTTTGTTTATATTGGCTACGGCAAGAGTTACTGTTCTTGCGCATTGCATGACGGGACGGAAAACCCTCGTTTGGGGGTATACCCCCGTTCGGGGGTTCGACCAGACTGGTTAACACTGGTTAACATGGTGCTATACAATCCCAATGGGTCAAAGAAGAATCGGTTATTACATGTATGACAACCCCATCAACCGAGGAATGTCCGACTACCTAAACTACATCTACTTAAGAAATTCGTATACCCCGATCCTTAGATCATAATAAAGAACTTAATTACGTTTTCTAGCATCCGCCACTTTCTCTGCAGCCTGTTTTTCAGCTTTTAGTAGCTGCTGAATCCCTGTAGATTGACTTGCCATCTTTTCCTTACTCAGTTACTGTCAGATCATGTGATAATACTTTAAAATTCTTAGTCACTTGTGCGCTTAAAGCACCGAACACATAAACTGATGACGAAATACACATCGGAAGTTGAAACTGGCTAGAAAGAATTCCACAAATAATTTCATTCATTCCATTTCGGCAATTCTGGATTTCCTTTGAAAGTCCAGGGGTTTTGAAGGTAATAAATACATTATTTTGCATATGCTCACATTGTGTTTTCGAATGAAATGTGATTTTTTATGCCCAATTTTGGAAAATTTAATGATGAGCTACTGTACCAATCAGTGTGTGCACATGGCTCAGGGGGTGTTTTCAGGCATATATTTAATTCTGTCTAAGTTAATTAAAATCTTAATCAACAACGGATTTGAAAGGAAATATTAGGGAGAATGATTGAACATGATACATAATCAATTATTTTTGCTTGTTTTTTACTAATGCATTTATTATTCAATAGACATAAATAACATTTATGTCTCTGATGAAGATCAGTAGATTCATTGTGTGCATGTCTTTTTATACCCCCCCCCCAAAAAAAAAGCATAATAGGATAAGGATATGTCAAAGTGAGTCATCAATCATCATATTATTAATTCAGTTTTAACTTTAATATTTTTAACTCTTGAATATGTTTTAATTTATTTATTTTGTTTTTATTTATTTATTTTTTTTATCATTTTATTTTGTCCAACATTGAAGATTCGTTTAAAACAATAATGAACATTTATTATGAAGAGGATAAGATAAAAAGAAATTTATGGTCATTGTGCACATTGTATTTCAGTTATCTTTTTCTTTTTTGCAGGGTTAAGCCAAGAATGGCAAATTCAGTTGAGGAAGAAAGTTTAGAAAAGCTTAAGCAATGGCTAATCCTCTACAGAGATGATGGTGCCTACAAAGTAATCTCCAAAACATTTAGTCGAGAAAAGGCATTGTGTGTGACCCAACTACTGGCAGATGGACATGGGAAAGAGGTTTTATCCCAGATACAGAGATACAGCTCATCAGCAGCCTTAATAGACAGAGAACCATTGTTATTTGCATATGCTCTCTGCTGTAAATCCACAGACAAAAACACGAAGAAACAAGCAGAGCAGTTATGTGATAAAATATGTAAAACTCCTTGTGACTTGTTTCAGTTGTTCAAATTTCATAACAATCTGTCCACAACAAAGAGCTGGGGAAGATATTTCAAGAGATTGATTAGCACCTGGTACCACAACCAAGATCCATATCAGCTGGCACGAAATGTCAGCAAAGAGATTAGCTTCTTAGGATGGTCACATAGGGATGCTCTTAGAATGGGACATCTGAAACCCAAAACAGATGGTTAGTACATTGTTCTTTTTAACCCAAATTATTTTTGATGTACTTGTACTGTATTTATGTATTATTTTTTAGTACTTTGAAACAAAGGCAAGAATTATTTGGGGATGATTATGAATGAGTCATATTTATTTGCAAGATATTAAGTATTTTTATGTCTTACATTTTTATGAAATCATCTTTTGATGATTGGTGGTATTGATTATTCCTGAATTTTCACAATAAAAATTTGGGTCAAGGTGCCAAAATGACAACCCTGCTGAAATCTGTTCACCTGCAGAGCACTGTATGCCGAAGAAAGTGCAATGTGTACATGCAATCATTGAGAAAGCTAGTGCACTCCCTGGATGGTTATAATAACAGCCGGTGATTCATTGACCTTTGTATACTTACTGAAGAGTGGAAGGAATGGCATGTGTCTGTGTATCCAAAATTAATATGACAATAATTGTAAATTACTATGCAATACATATAATTAAAACTGTATATATATAAATAATGTGTAACAGGGGTTAAAATTAACCCTTATAAAATTTGGTAGCCAAATGGGCTACCAACTTTCAAATTTCACTAGCCCAGAATGATATTTACTAGCCAATATGAAAAAGAACACATTTTGCCACATAATGTTGAAAACACATTACGCCACGTAAATTTATGTATAGGTACCTTAATGTACCATTTAAAATTATGTAATTCTATTGCATAATGTGTCTTGTTAAAAAAAAATGTGTAGACATCTGCTTATCATATTTTGTATTATTTTATCTAAATAATAATCAAAAACTATGATTTCGGTGAGAAAATATGTTTTATAATCAATGATATCACAACTGCGGACATAGATGAAATTCTAGTTTCTAACCAGGCCAGTGCCCTTCAAAGTTTTCATTGCCCATATGAGTATTTATTTTTAAAAATTGGAACATGTTTTATTCCTCAACTTGAGATGTCTGAATGTTTATCTAGATGAAAAACCTACTTGCTGAAATCAAGCTGACTATAGCTAGGCCTAGGTGATGGATACCTTCAAATATGATTAATATCTTAATTCAAGCTTTAACAAGACAGTAACTGGAAGTAACAAAATTATTACCAAAAATGTAACCTTACTGTTTTCTTGGAGCTGAGATTTCTCATATACATGTAGTAAATCTAAACCTCTGAAGTGTTCTTTAGAAGTTTTGTTTTAAAAACCACATAATTACCATGATAATATTGAGAATACTTTGATACAAACATTCATGTGTAGTGTACTTCATATGAATTTTTACCTCTTAACATTCCAAACAATTATTGAGCAATCTTCAGTTTTAAATATTGGCAAGGTTCAAAAAAACAAGAACATTATTACAAACTGACAGAGGGGAGTTTCTGGGATGTTAACCATGATAGGCCATATCACAGATGTCATAAAAAGCAAGACAATATCTCGATCTCTAGGATTAAATCATGTAGATGATATGCATTTACTACCAATATACTATAGTTGTATAACAATACATCTGGAAGTAAAAACTTTTAATGTTAAAATATTTCGGGACCCCTTGAAGAGGGCCAGGGCATTAAATATTTCTGATCTTTTGGCATTGGGATTTGTTGTGGCTAGACTGTAAATCTGCTGATGGCAGCCAAAACACATCTGTTGCACAACAGCAGGGAGGCAGGCATTCTTGAAATACTTCCCCCTTTCTTACAACAATCAAATCATCTCTTGGAGGTTATCATTGCAGAATTACATACATATGTCCAAAGATTCCAGCCTATGTTTCACTTATATGCTTGGTTCAGTATAAAATTACCGTAAGCCATATATCTTCAAGCTGAACAACAAAAAATGCCAAACAATTAAAATGCGAATATTTCATCAGACAACACAAATGCCAGGATGAGAAATGTGTAAGCTGTAATGATGGCATATGAACTGACTGCACCAGCATTGTGATGTCTCTTTTTTGTGAGCAGTGTGAACAATTACTACAACATACATGTGCTGTAACATGCCCCGGTGCTTCTGTCAGTGTAAGCCAATTATGTCTGAGGTGATGATTCGTATACAGAATGTTGATAATCTCTGGTTATCAGAGGATATCTTGATTTTTGTGTTAATAAAAAACATGCTGCATTTACAAAGCAATTAATGTGAATGACAAATATGTGATAATTGACTCTATGTGTTTATAGTATGATGTTGCAGGAAGACATAATAATGTGAAAGAAATTAACAGAGAAATTTTCCTTTTTTTAAGTTTCTTATAAATGACAAAAGTTTATGTCAATGAATTGCACACTTTATTTCAGAGTAATAAACTTTAGAAGAAAACAGAATAAAATCTGATTATTGAATTATTGAGTGGTCAAAGTGAATCAGCATTAAACATGTTAAATGATTATTTTTAGCACTTCATGTATCTTACACAGGTGTGCATAAATTCATAACAAATGTGTGTAAGTCAATTTGCATACAAGCCCAAGTGTTCACATTATAATATATCACTGTGAAGCACAAAAAATTCATCTGGTGCTGAATAATCAGCATTTACATTGAATAGCACAAACTCTGAAGTTCATCTCAGCATGTATATACATACATATAAGGTAAATCATACCTAAACCATTATAATGGTGTTTTAGTAAAATCATGTGCCCTAGCTGTAACAGGATTAATATATAGATCTGTAGGTGAATCAAATACTTTATTGACTAATGGTATAATTAATATAAATTGTGGGAATATTATAAGAGTATATACGAATGATATTTTGAAATGTTTTTAGTATGTATATGTGTATATCACTGAGGTTATCTCCCTTGATATGTTGTAGAAATGGACCTCATCTTTAAGTATCTAGTCCTAGGCCTAGCTGAGACCAAGAAGTCCTTTGGAAAGTCAGACAAGGAAAGCATTCAAAAACTTTTGGAATTTCTCTCTGCTGTTGACATTGCCAAACACAAGGAAGATGTGCTACAAGTTGCAAAGCTTGTGGAATTCCATAGTCTTAAAAAGGACCATCTACGGACAGTTTTGCTTAAGGAAAAGGAGGTTGTTAAATATAATTATTTAATATTAATTTTATGTGTACCATAACAGACCAGAAAGGGATTTAGAATATTACCAAATGAACCTGTAATGTGATGTAAATCCCCAGTTTTATGTCAACACCTCAAAAGTGTAAATAACGCAGAGATCAATACTATAATTATTACCACTTGTCAAATCATGCAGGAAAATAACCTACTGCTTTGTTAATCTCAGTAAGATTCATCGATACTCAAGAATTTGTACATGCATATATCTCTTCCGGAAGATCGGCAAGATTTCAGAATACACAACATGCAGATAAGACAAGTTTCACTGTATAAACATAGGATATCACAAAGCTGATAGACCACTCCACTCCTTAGGTAACATGCATAAAGTAAAAAAAATATTGGGTCTGTAAAAAATGTAAAAAATAAATGTAAATTACTTACGTACATGTAAAGGTTTTTTCCTTGATAAAATGCTCACCATATATAAGATTGTATGTATTTCTGCAATATTAATTTGATTATTGAATTCCCTTTTTTAAAATGAAGAGAATCCTAGTTTGTTCAAGGTTTTGAAGAGGATAGATGTAAATTACTTACATGTAAAGGGCGAGGTACTGAAAGAACCAAATTTGACCCATCAACGGACTTAAAAGTTGGGATGTAATCATGTATAGATATTTGATATTTTCTAATTATAAATTAAAAAAAAATGATGTCATCCTCAATACATAAATACATGTATTGGCTATAGTAAAGTGAAAGAGATCAAATTTAGGGATTATATCATTTCTAATTGCACTTTGCTTTGGAAAACAGTAACACACTGGGAAACAAGCCTATCATTACAGAAACTATCTACACTAGTGCATCTTAAGTTAGCTTGTACACTTTATGTTTTATGAAGCCAAATGTATGTAATGAAAGCATCCATGAAAATGGGGCTGTTAAGAAAGTCCTTCATTGTGACCTTTGCATAATATACTATCATTTAAAGTCATACATTGGTCGGTTTGAAATTTGTGTAATCAAAGTAACTGTTGTTTTTTGTGAACCATGTTATTGCTTTTTGAACTCATTGCTTGATTCAAGGCATTTCTTTACATGTTTCTTACACAGTCTTACATGTAAATGATAAATTTCTGTCATTGCAGATTTGGACAGCTCTGTTGAAAGAAATGACAATACAAGAAATACTAGAAAATATAGGACAGCTGGCAAACATAGGATATCTAGATGAGGGCTTTGATGGTAGCCAGTCTGTAGTGGACAAGCTTATGAATGAAGCTTTGCTAAAAGAACAAAAGTATGTTGTATGTCCACAGCAAAATTACAAAATATTCTTATTGATTCTAGACTGTTGGATAATTACAAGTCATTAAAATAAATAATTTTCAATGAAGTGAACCAATTTGCAAATCACTTTGAAGAAGTTTTTAGATTCTTTGCAGGATAGATTTATTGGATAACAGTTGTCAATTTATAATTTGAAAAGTATTTCTAAGAGGCTCGTTTATTGAGCATTTTGAACTTCTCCAGAAAGACTGCATGTTCTCAGACTGAACCTGGCATGAATATTGTAAAGTTGCATCTAATTATACTGTATAAGTTCTTTTTTATACAATATATACAGATTGACTATAGTTGTAAAGGATTAGCAAACCTTTTAATTCAAGTTTGACTGTATTTGGAAGGGATAAGCATACCTTTTAATTCAGATTTGACTATGACTGTAGTTGTAAGGGATTAGAAAACCTTTTAATTCATTCAGATTTGACTGTAGTTGGAAGGAAGCCAGTTATTAGGGCCTCGCAAGGATTTGTGGGTGCCCTAAAGTAATCACTCTGTCTGTTTGTCTGTCCGTCTGTCTGTCTGTCCATCTGTCATTCTTCCGTCCACAAATTTTCTATTTTTTTTTTAATAACTTTTTTTGTAGTTGACCAATTAAGTTCAAATTTGGTATGTTGGTTGAAGAGGCAGTAAGACATATTTTGATGCTAAGTTTGGTTCTCTATGTCATCCAGTTTGGAGCTGGGGTGGTGGGGTAGATTCCTTAACTTTACATTAGAATGAATGCCAGGGCAAAGAGAGATAACTGCTGAGAATGTTCCTATTGTAAGAAAGCTGCAACTAGTCCCATGGGATTAATTAACTTTCCTCTTGAAGAAAATCCTAAGCATTATCTGTTTCTTTCAAATTGAGATTAATTAACACTGCTGTCTGCAAATGAAGTTTGTTTTGAAGTTAAGGTCAATTCTGAATGATGTTTACATTCTCTGAAATGTGGATTTAAATAATGTTCATACTTTATTTTGGTAAAATATATAATGAGTTATGATTTTATTGAATTCTAAAAACAAGATATACATAAAGATATGTTTTTTTTTATTTTTTTGTTTTTATTAATTTATTTTATTTATTTATTCTTTTTTTGGGAGCTGCCATATGTAAATTCAAGAATACTATTAATTTTAACGGGTAGTCCAATAATTAACTCATTCTATCTTTAAATATACATTTAATTGAGTTATTATAGATGTGATGTTTTTTACTGCCTTATGTAAATACAGGGATACTCTTTACAGGTTGTTGGATATTTAGGAATTATCTTGAAATTTTATAAATACAGTTGTTATTGCATATTTTTCTTCATATATTTTTAAATTTTTGTAATCAATTAAATTCTCATTCTGTAAGCTGTACCCTTATATTTCTACCCCTCGGCGGGGCCCTTGCTGACTGGTCAGTTTTCTAGTTTTAATCCATGTAAGGTTGTTACTGATTTTTTATTTAAAGAGAAATCATTCAATTTTTATAAATTAATGTTTTGATTGTAACATTGCCACACATTGATGTATGTTATTGTCTTTAAAACTGAATTTTTCTTATTCTAGTGTCCAGCCATTTGAGGTAATTATTGCTTCCAACTACTATAAAGAGGGTAGGAAAAAGGGCATCACCTGGCAACACAATGACAAAGTGATCAGAGCATTGGATTTTGCTCTTGACTACACTTCGAAGGTAATGTGGTACTTTGCTTCACAATATTTTTAGATAGTTTGCTATTTATTTCTACTGTGATAGATCCATAGTAACATCTTCAGCCTGTTTATACCCTAGTTGAAAAGCAGGGGGGTATATAGTGATGGGAGTGTCCGTCCTTTGGTACGTCCCTCAATATGTCTTTCCATATGTTTGTAACACTTAGGAGCCCATGTCTTATCAGCAACTCCTCCTATACCACTAAATAGAATTTAATGATACTTTCATAGAGTCTTTTTTACATAGTGCCATTGCGACCTCCTATTTTATATTTTGATCATAAAGATATTTGGGGTTTCCCATAGCAAATCATGGACACTGCCATTCTTTCAAAACTTTAGGGGGTATTTATCTCTTATCCACAACTCCTCCTGTTCATTGAGTAAAATTTTAAGGACATTTTCACAAAGTCTTTATAGCATAGTGCCATTGTGCATCTTTTTTTTGTTTCAATTGGACAGATATTTGGGGTTTCTTATAGCAAAACCTTGATAATGCTGTCCATTATAATATGGGGATACCCATCTCCTATCCACAACTCCTCCTTTACCAATGAATAAAATTTAATGAGACATTCACAGAATCTTTCTAACATAGTGCCATTTGTATAGACAGTATTTAGGGTTTCCCGTAGCAAAACTTGGACTTTGCCATTATACTCATGTGGTTTGGGTATCATTTTGTGAGCTCATTGCTTACAGTATCTCTAGTTTGAAAATAAATTCCACTAGGAAAACAAATTACATGTACTATAGTCTGAGTATAAAAAAGACTTGTGACGTTTTATGCAAACGATAACAGAAATGCTTAAACATGGTCTCAGTTCACAATATGTGTACTGACTTATCCAAATGTCATCATCAAAACAGTTCTCTTTCCTAAATCCTAGCTAACAGCCATATACTTCAGGAGAGTTAGCAGTTTTAAACTCACTGACATGTGCCACTTCATTACTGGCTTTTTTTGTGATTTCAGACCATTTTCAAATTGTCTAATCAGGATATACGTTGCATTTGTTTGTACACTGTTTTTCTTTTTCAGGGCAATTTGAAGCCCACAGGTAAACGTTGTGTTGTTGCAATACGTATTGGAATCAACAGAAACAAATCTACAGTGCGAGGCACAATGACTCTGTCAACAACTGCTGCAGCTGCTGGGGTTGCCATGGTGATCACTAGGGGCGAGGAGAATGCTGACGTTGTCTTCTTCACAGACACTGTCACACCACTGACAGTGACCAAGGAAACCAAATTAACTGATATGCAAAATGATATTAAAGAGCAAGTCAAGAAAGCTAATAAGAAAGAGGTAGTTCGTACATTTATTTTCTAAATAACAAAAAAAAAACATTATTATTACACCATGATTTTTACTTTTGAATTTTTATCATATTTTTTAAGGGTATAAAAAATAACTCAATACTGGTACAAGGTGAGGTACATATATAACTTCATTATTGATTACTTGTAGGAGGACGATCAAGAACCAGAGGTAGGGGATGATGGGGAGGAAGCTGATATCTTTGTAGGGGTAAGAATTTGTTCCCCCCCCCCCCCCCCCCCCAAAAAAAAGAAATAGACAGCTGTGCAAGGGAATTATTTCCTGCTTTTTTCCCTTTTTTTTAATTTTTGCAAAATTAAAAATGAATTCAGATAAATTAAGTCAAAAGCAAATGAAAATGCATTTATGCCAAATGGACTTTGTACAGGTGCCTCCAGAACCTTGTGACCTGGTTGCTCCAATCCAGTGGGCCACCAGCCAGAAAAAGGATGTGGATGTGTTCATTTTAGTGACTGATGCCAACAAAAGCACTGGCTCCAAGAATTTAGGGGAAGCCATTGCTCAATACAGAAAGGACAGGAACCTACCAAATACAAAGTATGATAATGAAAACTTTGTCTATAGTTATCCATAAATTCATGCTTCAGAGGAACATTCTGACACAATTCTTTTCTGTGTTTCAAAATAATAAAAGAAATTAATGTGTGTTCAAAATATAAACATTCAGTCAATAAAAAAATTAATGTGTAGGAAAAAAACACTTGGGGAAGTTGGGGAGGGGGGGGGGGGTGGAGGGGGTGTTACGCTACTTATGCTCATGTGTTTTTATTTTACAGGCTAGTAACTATTGGTTTAACAAATTCCAACATGAAGTTTGCCAATCTGGAAGACCAAAACATGCTGGATGTATCAGGGTTTGATGCCAAAGTCCCAAAAGTGATCCAAACATTCTTGTCAGAAGCATATTGAAAAGTGTTATGTCAATTCATGTTGACATTACTGTGTCCATGTGCTTGTGGTGAATCTTGAAAGTATTTCGTTTACCTTGGATGGTGTAGATTGTTTTCTGGAATAGGTATTGTTTTTTCCTAAGAAATATGGTGTATGGTTTAAAGAATTGGAATGGTCAAAGGGAATGCGGAATCAATTTGAGTGCTATGTCTAGGAATAAGTAGATTAATATTACAGTGCTATGAATCTGAGAATATCTCAAGTCATCTGTCTTGTTGGAATAGCTTTTACATGTGAAACATTGTGTGACATAAGCTAAATAGGGCTTCTTTTTGTCTGTCTAAATTTGTGTTGTATGCAGAGAGGACATAGGAAAAACCTCCTCCTCTTCTGTAAAAAGTTTTAATTGTAAGGCTATTAAAAACTTTATTTTGTGCAATAAACAAACATGTTCTGCTGAACTTCAACAACAACAAAAATTATGTTAGTGATGTACTTGCTATTCTCCTGAATTTAAAACTCACTTTTCCTTGCCAGTTATCACTAAGACAATTTTATTAGCTAAACAGACTGTGTTTTAATGCAAACATATTACTATATATATGTATCACATGCCAAGTTTGACATTTTGTTGTAGAAATTTGAAAAAAATATTTATAATTAATTCACACCATATCTTATATTTAAGCTAAAATTTTGAATACAGCATTATTTGTTTTATGTCAATGTACCAAACCCAAGCATTTTTTTTAATGCCCCACCATAAATATGGCGAGTTTGTCATGTCCATCTTCCGTCCTTCCGTCTGTCATTCCGTCGTGCTTTGGATTAAACTCAGTTCAAAACTCAGTTTTAAAGAAACTATTCAAGATATTTTTATCAAACTTCATATGCTGATACATATTGATGAGAGCTATTCAACTGCATCAAAATTTTTGACTGTGACTTTGACCTTGACCTCACTTTTCTTAAATTAGTGTTTAGCTCAGTTCTTAGGAAAACATTCAAGATAGTGTAATCAAACTTCATATGCTGATACATACTGATGTAAGCTTTTCAACTGCATCAAATTTTGACCTCTCCTTTGACCTTGACCTCACTGAACGAATTCATTTTATACTTATGTGCCAAAAATATGAAAATTTGAGAAAAAAGTATGAGGAAAATTAGTGTTAAGCTCAGTTTTAAAGACACCATTCAAGATAGTGTGTTCAAAATTCATAGTGATGTTAGCTTTCCAGCTGCATCAACATTTTTTAACTTGACCTTGACATTACATTTCTTAAATTAGAGTTTAGTTCAGTTTTAAAGAAACCATTCATGATATTTTTATCAAACTTCATAGGCTTATACATACTGATGAGAGCTATTCAACTGCATCAACATTTTTGACCTCACTTTTCTTAGTGTTTTTCTAAGTTTAAAAAAAAACCCATTCAGGATAGTATTATCAAACTTCATACACTGCTACATAGTGAAGTAAACCATTCAATTGTATCAAAAACTTTTGACCTTGAACTTTCCTTTGACCTTGATCACACTTTACTTAAATTAGTGTTTAGCTCAGTTTTAAAGAAACCATTCAAAGTAGTGTAATCAAACCTCATATGCTGATACATACTGAAGTAAGCTATTTAATTGCATCATCTTTTTTTACCTTGGCCTTTCCTTTGACTTGACCTCACTTTTTTAAATTTGTGTTTAACTTAGATTTAAAGAAACCATTCATAATATTTTTCAAACTTCATATGCTAATGCATACTGATGCAAGCTTTTCAAATGCATCAACATTTGTTGACCTTAAGGTTTCCTTTGACCTTCACCTCACTTTTCTTAGTTAGTTTTTAGCTCAGTTTTAAATAAACTATTCAAGATATTTTTATCAAACTTAATATGCTGAAATTTATTAGTTAGAGCTATTCAACTGCATCAAAAAACTTTTGACCTTGAACTTTCCTGTGACCTTGGCCTCACTTTTCGTAAATTTGCATTTTGCTTAGCTTTAAAGAAACCAATTAAGATATTTTTATGTAAGCTTTAAATTTGCACTTATACATTATTTGGTGAGAATTTATTATCTTTATCCAATATTTTATATTTCAATTTCATTTTTAAAATAGCTATTCAAGATATTCTCATTAAACTTCATATACATTACTAATAAAAATTTCCAGGTTGCATTACTAATTTTCCCTCGGCAGAACATTCATGTCCCATGGACATATTTCTAGTTGGGTTTTTTTTTTTTTGTATTTTTTTGTTTTTATTTTTTTTTTTTTTGTTTTGTTTTGTTTTTATTTTTTTTTTTTGGAAATGGTGCTGGACTTATATAGACTGGAACATATCTACAAACACTTTTATTGTTTAGATTTACTGGGGTATTTCTAACTTTGAATATTATAGATTTAAAAAAAAACTTAACAAGCATTGTAGTGTTTGTATTCACATAAGTAGAAAAGGTACTGTGACAGTTAAAATAGAGTTTTATGTAAACCAACTCAAAAAGGGGTTTTCCCCTAGAAGAGATGATTATTTAGAATTTAGATTTGATAACAATACTACCCATTAGAGATTTTTAAAGAATATGTGTGATGCCTTAATTTACCTCATTTTATACTTTTATATATATTGTAGTGTTGTGGTATAATTTATTGAAATATATCGTTATATACATACAACAAAAATGTTAAAAATAGCTACAAATCATTTAAAAGATTCCTTGATGATTTTAAAAAAAGGGAGAAGACATTTTGGTTAAGAACAAATCCAGTTGAACAATGTTGTAGCATATATTACATCCAATTATTTCCCTTGTGAACATGTTTACAGCATAAAAACAAAATGTTTGTATATTCGTTTAAATGTAATTTTGAAGAAAAAACTGTCCTCTATTCTCATTGGATGTATTTTTTTTTCAGATGCTGTAGATCACTAAATTTTGGCAACAACTTATTTTTGTGAGATAGTCATTTACTCTTTATAGCGAGACAAAATTTTCACTAATTGCTCTGTATAATCTTTAAGAATGCAAAAATATGAGAGAATGAATTTTTTTTGGATCAGACTGCCTTGCGTAATGATTGGAAAATAAAGTTCTCGCAAATAAAAAGAGATTAACAGTACACTACATGTATTATGATTTAAGGTTCATTTTCCCTTTCATACATATAAAAAAATCTTCTTTAACAGCAATGATTTTCTGAAAGAAATCTAAATTATAATGAAAATGCACAGAACTTCAGCAAATCTTGAGTAACAAAATTTGACAGAAATGACTGTTGAACTTGACAGTTCTATAATGGAATAAGAGACATTTATTCAAGGTAGAGTGGTCTCTCTTTTCAAAGGGTCAATGAACCTAGATCCCATGGTATTTTAATTCTGTACACCTTGCAATTATTTTGTCTTTCAATATTTTTTATTCATTCTGCCTAAGGTATTTTGTTGATCGAATTATAACTTTTTTTTCTCTGTTTTGAATAAAGCTTATACATGTCAGCTCTTAAAATATTGTTCATTTATGGTCTTGAAAGTTTTGTGTGGTTTATAAAAAAAACTGCTACCTTTAAGTTAGTTCACAGTTGTTTCTCAGTTATATTTGTGGAAATGTAAATAGATGACCAGAACTGGTAAAGTTGTGCACCTATTGCTGTTTTTATCCACGTATTAGTATCACCAAGCAATATCCTATACCAAATATTTTGATGACCTTCTTGACATCAAATTCAAGAATGGCTAATTCCCTTTTAAAACTGTTCTCCATCTTTTTATATTAAAACACATTTATGATTGTTGAAGGTGTGGAATGGATCTGCCTGGATTCTTTATATTTTACAACTTTTACCGACAAGATTTGAACCAGTGTGCCTTTCTGTAAATAAATTTCAGCCTTTTCGTTCCATAATTTTACCAGTACTGTTGCTCCACCACTTTCTTTCTCCATCAAGACAAAATCTCTCTTGGGTTGGTGTTTCATATCATACATACCACCACACTGTTCAATGATTAAATAGTTAAGAAGTCATGAATATTTTACTTGCATGCATTTGACCTGTAATTATATGAAACAAATTCAAAATATATAGGCACATGTACTGTATAGCATTTTTATCACAAGAGACACATTGATTAAATACAAATTTAATACTTCTGCCCCACTTCACAATAACATTTTTTGAGAAGCTCATTTTCAAAAAACAGTGTTGTTTTTACAGGAAAAGCAAGAGTACCTTTTTAACATATCCCTTAACCGAAAGTCTTGTGCGGATTTCCATTGTCATCAACTTTTCCATGGACAGGCCAGCAATGCTAGTACAAGGTGGATACAGAATTTCCTCAACTCTTTTTGGATTAATGTTGAATGGCTTTGTTTCATTCACCTAGTATTTATTAATGTTTATTATATAACTAAAGTAGAAAAGTATCTAGTATATGCTTCGAGTTAGTTATCAAAACAGGAAACTGCATGGGATCTGTTGCCACTATTTTTTAATTGTTGAATGAAGCACAGAGGTTAAAAGCTGTTTTACTGAACAAAGCAAAACCAAGAAATGTTTGAAAACATACCCTAGTATATGCCCCCACCCCAACCTGTGTGGCAATTCTGAAAGGATTATTGTGAAATTTAGAATGTCTGTACTGATAGTGAAAAATGCAGGTTTCCTGCTAGGCACAGAAATCACAATTCAAGTTTAATCTCTGTCAGCAAAGGATCTAATTAAAAGATATTGAGCTGACAATATCTTCCTATGGCACAGCAGTTTGACCTTTGACCTTGTGACTTCTACATTAACAGGGTCATCTATGCCTTAGGGGTACCAGTTTACAATGAGTGGACAATATTTTCATATGTCTAGGATAATTTGAACTTTGTCCTTGTGACCTCACATTTTGGGGCAGCTAGGGAACCCGTGTACCAAGTTTGATATCTATTTAGCAAATATTGAACAGACATTATCATCTTATATCTAGATCATTTGACCCTTGACCTTGTGACCTCAAAATCCATAAGGATCATTTGCTCCTTAGGGGGTACCAGTCTATTAGGTTTGATCTCTGTCAAGCAAAGAGTTTTCAATACATTGAGTGGACAATATATATTCCTATGTCTAAATTATTTTAACCATTGATGGGTGCAAATCAATATTCCCCATTTTTTTTAAATGCATGTCAGGAAATAAGTTTACAATGAGGTCACAGCGGCCTATTTTTTGCAGCACCTCCCCCCCCTCCCCAAGATCTATCAATTGGCAAGGTTTGGCTACTCTGAGCCTTACACATGTTACAATGTGCAGGCCTGTAGCAACGGTTTTAGAAATTGGGAAGGGGGGGGGGGTAACTTCACAACAAATCTGACAAGCCTAAGGGAAAAAAAACCTAAACTGACCAAAAAGTAGGGGGGGGGGGGGGCAACTTCCCAAAAATAATCTGACAAGCAAAAAAAAAAAAACCACTAATTAATTGTCCAGATCCTGGAATTAGCAAGTGCCCGACCTTACAGCAACAAAGAGTGGGGGGAACAAGGAAAATTTGCCATGGCAAAATACTGTAGGCAGAAAAAGGAAAAAGTGCCCCCCCCCACCCGTGTTACGGACCTCGTGTACCATAGGCGTCGGAAGCAAATAGAAAGTGGGGGACTAAACCAACAAAAAACGTTTGTGGGGCTAGGCCCCAATTTTTAATGCCTATATTATGTCTATCTTTGCAAAAAAGGGGGCTAGCCCCCCCTCCCCCCCGGTTCGGCGCCTGCGTGTGCAAAATATAATCCGGACAGACTTTCACTATGTATAGCCTCAAATTCCAACTTAAGGTCCTGCACAGCGACTTTCATTTTTAACTCGACATAATATCTTAAATAAACAAAAAAAAAAATAAATTTAGCAGACAGAAAGAAGGACAGACAAGCACAAACCATAATACAACCCTTAACAGAATTGGTTCGGAAGGATGCAGGAGAGACTCCAGAATTTTCCGTTAAAGAGAGATCTAAAATTACTATATTCTGCCCCCCCCCCCCCTCCGTCTGCTTGCGGTACATTTATAAACGCATTTACCATTATATAACCGATTATTACAATGAACTGCCATAAAGCTTTAAAAATGCGAGTACAAACTTTTCTAACTTTATTTAAAACATACTAAAGCCTATTAGGATCAAACTACGGTAAAAAAAAAAAATTAAAAGACGTTATAACGCCTTCTCTAAAGGCGTTATAACGCAAAAAGGCGTAATTACGCCTTTTAAAGGGCGTTATTACACCTTTCAAAAAGGCGTTATTACGCCTTTTAAAAAGGCCTTATTACGCCTTTCCAAAAGGCGTTATTACGCCTCTTATTTTTCAATACATGACTTACTTAGCCCGCCCTGGTGGCTGATTATAATTAGATTTCCAGGAAAAAAGATTTTTAAATGTTTGAAAAATTTTCAGTGTTAAACCAACTTAGTCCTTCTCTGATGCCAGACACCTCTAGCAAGGTGCATGGATTTCAGAAATTTGGTTGAAGGCTAATTGCTCATTATACCTACGCAAATAGTTTGCCTGTTTTTTTCCAAGAGGAGAGAAAAATATTTCAAATTTGACATGAATTTTTAATACATGGCTAGCAAAGCCAAAAGCTGGCTCTCCCTATATCCTGGATTTTCAAAAGTAGAGTGTTGACTTCTCTTAATGCGCATGCAAACAGCTGTGCAGGAATATAGAAAATACTAAAATTTATTATGTAATTTATGATATTAAAACTGTAATCTAAATATTGCATAAATAAAGATGGCTTTGGTTCAATCTTTCATATATTAATTATTTTAAAATAACGCCTTTCCATTTTTGGATATAACTCCTTTTCAAATAGGCCGGTAGTACGAATGCGAGTGGGGGGGGGGGGGGCTCCCCCTCCCCACTTTTTGGGAGAATAGTCTTGCTATAGTTTAAATATAAAAAATCCTTTATTGATTGCTTGGTCCCTTAACATTTTGTTGCAGTATGGCTAAACTCGGGCAAGTCACTGCATTTAAAAAAAAGTTTTACCGAAAAGTTAGAAAAAGATACCCCGCAAGTTTAGGCAGTTTATTTTTTTTTCGAGGGGGGGGGTGTTTCTTGGGGTTTTTTTTTGTGTTTGCTTGTCAATTTTATTGGAGGCTGCCACCCCCCCCCCCCCCCCCCACTTCAAAAGCACGGGCCAAATGTCAAAGACATAATAATGGCTCTTCAAAGGGCATAATAACGCCTTTTTAAAAGGCGTAATAACGCCTTTTAGAAAGGCGTAAAAACGCCTCTTCGAAAGGCGCAATAACGCCTTATGGAAAGGCTTAATTACGCCTTCATTTGCGTAAATACGCTTTCTTCCGCGTTATAGCGCCTTTTCAAAAGGCGTTATTACGCCTTTTTTCGCGTTATAACGCCTTTTGAAAAGGCGTTATTACGCCTTTAAATTTTTTTTTACAGTAGTTTGATCCTAATAGGCTTTCGTAAAAACTTTATAAATCATAGGAAGGGAATATATATATATATATATATATATATATATATATATATATATATATATATATATATATATATATATATATATATATGTATATATTTTTGTCGAGAAAATTTTGGGTCGGGATTTTTTTTACTGGAGTGGACCCCCCCTCCCCGCCCCCTTGGAAAAAATTCCTGGATCCGCGCCTGATGTTTATAGTATACTATATATAGCTAGTAGTAGATACATATTTATTTAACAATTAAGCTGGGAAGTGCTATGCGTTAAACGTATCAAGCATCAGTGTGAAAAATGCACTTATGTATTTGTCTTTTGTAAAAAAAAAAAAAAAAAAAAAAAACGCTTGATACAGCAGGTCTTCAAATTAATAATATCATCTATGTCCGTTAATTGTTCGGATGAAAAAGAAACTTTCCTTTGCCTGTTTTTGTAGACGTAAAAACCCATTGGTTTGATGTATTATCCTAGTCCTGTAGAATTTATCTTTTTGAATCTTTCTGAGGTGATTTTCAGCAATCCACACAGTGCAGACATCGTTTTGAGCCGTCAAAGCTGTTGTCATGCCGTAATATGAATTCGTCGTTGCTTCATATCTGGTATCAGGTTTCTCAATGACGCAAAACTTGAGTTTACGTGTACATTCTGCACTTACCTAAAATCAAGTGGGGTATCAGTAATCAATTTAAAATTTCAGTCTAATACATATAGATTAGAGAGAGAGAGAGAGAGATTTTATTATTACTCTTGGTCGAACTGGATGTTCTCTGTCTTCTTTTTTATCTGAAGGATGCGCCTTAAGTCTTAAATCTTCGAAATCTGTAAATTAGTGATTACAGGAGTTATGAATTCCAACAGAGATAAATTCCATTTCCATTAAAGAAAACGATTGAAGATAGATCAATAATGTCAAATCATCGATACCGAGATGTAAATTAATTTTTGCGAGCAATAATTCCACCACATTGATGAGCTCAGCAATTGAATTAGTTAATGCGCACATCGTAATGAACTGATGCGCGCATCAATTGAATTTAAAAGAGCAATTAATGCGCGAAATAAATCAAATATTATATAATTCAATTACCAAATCAGCTTTTCTCCCAACAAATGAATTCGTGCCTCATTTCTTTGACGAGAGCAATGATTGATTTGATGTGCGCATCTTCAAATAATTAAAAATATCTTCAATTATTTGAATTTATGTCAATTTTTGCTCTGTAAAGAAAAGTTGTATAAAACCATCAAAGTTGAAACCCAGCTTCAAAAAGAGCTGTTGAATAAAGAACACCTTGCCTTCCCCTACCTTAGATTTTTGAGTCCGGAAAAAAAGAAGGTGAAGATAGAGGATATACATGTATATATATATATATAGAGAGAGAGAGAGAGAGAGAGATTCAGTGTTTTGGATATGGAAAGAATGTCGTGGAACAGAATCGCACTCGTAAAAATATCAAAAAATCCTGAAGAGTAAAATAAATTTCATATTTAACCATAAAATATTGAATTTTCTGCATGTTTTTCACATGTTCTTTGATTTTCCCATTGCTTCTGTCTATCCCCAGCAAAATGTCTAAGTCTGTGACGTTATAGTTGAGCTGTTGAGACGCCATAGCTTATTGTGAGATTGAAAACATTGTAATGTTAAACACAACAGACACTTTGACAGTTTTAGTCTCTATCGGGATGGTTTATAAGAGCCAGGGAGTACTACTTTTTACAATATTCTTCGTGAAAGGAAGGGAAAGGAAGGGAACGAAAATGGAGTGTTTTGCCGCACTTATGATATTCTGTCACACTGTGACAGGTTATAACTTTGATATTCTACCACACTGTGACAGAATATCACTTTTATTCAATAATTACAGTATTTCACTGTTTAAAATGTGATAAATATATACATACCTGCTCGCAGATGCTTGAACCTTATTCGCTCCATCTCTCTTCAGAAAGTACATACAGTATTTCTCTGGTGTGTCTATACTCATTTGATAAGATATCACGTAACATGTAATCGAATGTATAAATTTAGTTCCTTGTTGAAATTTGAAACATGATAAATAATTAAATACTAATGGAGTCTGATTACTTGACTTGGATGATTTCTGAGTATGTATTTGTAATTAATACAATTAAGCTCGTGCGTATAGGAAACACCATACATGTATAATCTAATAAATAAATCATGAATATGTAAATAAATAGCTTAAATATTTGTAGTACATTTGGGTGTCGGCTTTCATACTGTATAGCTGTCGGAGACTCGGAGCTATCCTGGGTTTTCTTGTATTCATGTATACAAATTCCTACAAACACAAATTGTCCTCTCTTCTTATTTTCACCCAAGTACATCACAGTATACCCCCGTCCCTTTATACAGTGTACATGCATTTTTTTATCAGTCCAGTAGGTAGCAATTTCGGTTGGGAGGGGAATTTGCTTCCCCGCTTAAGGAAAGAAGACCTTAAAATGCAGACGAGACACAATATTGACCTTGACTTTTCAGTTTTGGCCATAAACTCATTGGGGGTATTTCTAAAGTTAAAGAAATTCATGACCTTGAGATTCAATGTAAAAGCTTACAGATAACTCAAGTTCTAATCAGAAAACACATTTCAAACTCTGGCCTTTGACATCAAAATAAATAAGGATATTCTTTAATTGAGTCATCTTGACTATGTTGACCAATGGTATAAAACTTCATTGCAAAAAGAACTTAGGTTATCATCAGGAAACCATTTTATGCAAGACGTGAAATTTGACCTTGTTCTGTTGACTTCAAAATCAACAAGAGGCCCATGGGCCACAACACTCACCTGAGTAACTTTGGTCCTGCTGTTCTTCAACAGATTTCCGCCCTTGTTATACGTATTGTGGCCCCACCCTACCCCTTGGGGTCATGATTTGAACAATTTAGAATCTACACTACCCCAGGATGCTTCCATATCAGTTTCGTCTTTTCTGGGCCAATGGTTCTTGAGAAGAAGATTTTTAAAGATTTCTCCTGTATATTTAAATGTAAAAATTTGATTCCTACTGGGGGGGGGGGGGGTCATGATTCGAACAATTTAGAATCTACACTACCCCCGGGATACCTCCATATAAGTTTTGGCTTTTCTGACCCAATGGTTCTTGAGAATATTTTTTCCCATACATTACAATGTAAAACTTTGATTCCCCATTGTGGCCCCACCCTACCCCGGAGGGTCATTATTTGAACAATTTAACATGCACACTACCCCAGGATGTTTCCATATAAGTTTCAGCTTTTCTGGCCCAGTGGTTTTTGAGAAGAAGATTTTTAAAGATGTTTCCTATATTTTCCATGTAAAACTTTGATTCCCCATTGTGGCCCCAACCTATCCCAAGGGGTCATGATTTGAACAATTTAGAATTTACACTACCCGAGGATGCTTCCATATAAGTTTCAGGTTTTCTGGCCCAGTGGGTTTTTTTTTCTTAATTGAATTTAAAAACTGATTGATACACACACTTTTTTTCATGTTATGCTAATTGAAAAAAAAGGTTTTAAAAACAGACTAGAGAGCATTTCTTTCAGTCTCATATTCTTAAATATTTGTTTTCTTTGATATGAATCAAAATTAACAATCAGTAATTAAGTCGAAGGACTTTCGCAAAGTTACGTGTTGCTGTTTTTTTTTTTATCGAATGACTAGTTTGGGTATGCGCAAAAGATCCAAAAGAAATGAACACTCCTTTTTGACTGATGAGTGGATTTTTTTTGTTTGCAAGAGAATTTATACTGTTTACCATGATAAGAATTTAACTGCATTTTATTACACTGCACTACAATGCAATGTCAATCAATAAATGAAGTCCATTTTTGTTTTACATTATGGTATTGAAAATAAGGTGTAAATTAACATATTTTCTAATATATTTTTATTTTTTAAAAAAAGTTTTGAAAAACAGACTGGATGGAATATTTTCATTCACATTTTCTTATATGATTGTTCTCTTTCATATGAATCTAAATTAACAATGCAGTAATAATGTCGAAGGATTTTTCGACAACTTTTTTCATGGCTGTTTATTATTTTATGCAATGCCTAGTTTGGGTAAATGAAAGATTGAAAAAGAGAGAAATCTCGTGTTTGATTGATGAGTGTAGATTTTGAGAGTGATGCAGATAAGCACCAGGAAGGATAAACAGAATGTATTCTGATAACAGTACTTAGAGCTAAGTTCTCATCAAAGAACAGTTACTTTTTCTGATTTTTTTTTTTTATTGAAAGACTGATATGGAAATATGCGAAACATTCCGAGGAAAATTGGAGTGTCGAGTAAAGTTCTTTAATTGCAAGCTAATTAATTTTGCTTTTAAATAAAAATATAACTGCCCTACAATACATTGCATTGTAATGCTTGATGTTCGTTCTAAATAAAACATACTTGGTCAATTATTATTAGGCAAAACAGTGAAAAAAAATATAAACTTTCCTGTTTAACTGATGAGTGAATATTTTGAGACTCAAACAAAGCGCCAATGACTTTGTAGAACAATCAAAGACGCTTTTCAATACTACTTAGCAGTACTTGTTCAGTGAGATAAGCTCACACTAAGTCCTTTTCACGCGACATAACCGTTATTTACTCTGACTTTAACACCTGGTCATTTGTGAATGTCGACCTCTCTAACGTCTTATATATAGTATACAGGCCTGTTACTCGTTAGCATTGCTTAAACATTTACATAATATAAAAGCAGAAATCAATGATCGTTTTGTCTACGTTGTTCAAAGGGACATAATTTGAGTTATCGAACTTTGAAACAAAACTTACATTATGCAAATTTCCAAATAAACATTCAATCACAAGGACAAATTGTATATAAAAGCTGTCTTTGGAAGGTGGATGGTGGGGAATATTTCTAATACATTGACAAGTAAAATAATTGTGCTTGTTTAAATACAAGTACAATTGCACCATACTGCACTCTGCTGCAATACAATGCGATACACTGTGATGCCCGCCAAATTGTCCAATCAAAATTAACTTAGTCAATTTTCTTTCTTAATTGAATTTAAAAACTGAATGAATAGACACACTTTTTTCATTTTATGCTAATTGAAAAAAAGGTTTTAAAAACAGACTAGAGAGCATTTCTTTCAGTCTCATATTCTTAAATATTTGTTTTCTTTGATATGAATCAAAATTAACAATCAGTAATTAAGTCGAAGGACTTTCGCAAAGTTACGTGTTGCTGTTTTTTTTTTATCGAATGACTAGTTTGGGTATGCGCAAAAGATCCAAAAGAAATGAACACTCCTTTTTGACTGATGAGTGGATTTTTTTTGTTTGCAAGAGAATTTATACTGTTTACCATGATAAGAATTTAACTGCATTTTATTACACTGCACTACAATGCAATGTCAATCAATAAATGAAGTCCATTTTTGTTTTACATTATGGTATTGAAAATAAGGTGTAAATTAACATATTTTCTAATATATTTTTATTTTTTAAAAAAGTTTTGAAAAACAGACTGGATGGAATATTTTCATTCACATTTTCTTATATGATTGTTCTCTTTCATATGAATCTAAATTAACAATGCAGTAATAATGTCGAAGGATTTTTCGACAACTTTTTTCATGGCTGTTTATTATTTTATGCAATGCCTAGTTTGGGTAAATGAAAGATTGAAAAAGAGAGAAATCTCGTGTTTGATTGATGAGTGTAGATTTTGAGAGTGATGCAGATAAGCACCAGGAAGGATAAACAGAATGTATTCTGATAACAGTACTTAGAGCTAAGTTCTCATCAAAGAACAGTTACTTTTTCTGATTTTTTTTTTATTGAAAGACTGATATGGAAATATGCGAAACATTCCGAGGAAAATTGGAGTGTCAAGTAAAGTTCTTTAATTGCAAGCTAATTAATTTTGCTTTTAAATAAAAATATAACTGCCCTACAATACATTGCATTGTAATGCTTGATGTTCGTTCTAAATAAAACATACTTGGTCAATTATTATTAGGCAAAACAGTGAAAAAAAATATAAACTTTCCTGTTTAACTGATGAGTGAATATTTTGAGACTCAAACAAAGCGCCAATGACTTTGTAGAACAATCAAAGACGCTTTTCAATACTACTTAGCAGTACTTGTTCAGTGAGATAAGCTCACACTAAGTCCTTTTCACGCGACATAACCGTTATTTACTCTGACTTTAACACCTGGTCATTTGTGAATGTCGACCTCTCTAACGTCTTATATATAGTATACAGGCCTGTTACTCGTTAGCATTGCTTAAACATTTACATAATATAAAAGCAGAAATCAATGATCGTTTTGTCTACGTTGTTCAAAGGGACATAATTTGAGTTATCGAACTTTGAAACAAAACTTACATTATGCAAATTTCCAAATAAACATTCAATCACAAGGACAAATTGTATATAAAAGCTGTCTTTGGAGGGTGGATGGTGGGGAATATTTCTAATACATTGACAAGTAAAATAATTGTGCTTGTTTAAATACAAGTACAATTGCACCATACTGCACTCTGCTGCAATACAATGCGATACACTGTGATGCCCGCCAAATTGTCCAATCAAAATTAACTTAGTCAATTTTCTTTCTTAATTGAATTTAAAAACTGAATGAATAGACACACTTTTTTTCATTTTATGCTAATTGAAAAAAAGGTTTTAAAAACAGACTAGAGAGCATTTCTTTCAGTCTCATATTCTTAAATATTTGTTTTCTTTGATATGAATCAAAATTAACAATCAGTAATTAAGTCGAAGGACTTTCGCAAAGTTACGTGTTGCTGTTTTTTTTTTATCGAATGACTAGTTTGGGTATGCGCAAAAGATCCAAAAGAAATGAACACTCCTTTTTGACTGATGAGTGGATTTTTTTTGTTTGCAAGAGAATTTATACTGTTTACCATGATAAGAATTTAACTGCATTT